TGAGTATTATCACTAGTATCTATCTAAGATTCTTAAAAAGGGGGAGCATGTACTCTAGGAACCTTATTCTGAATTCTTTTTCCGTCATGTTGCATATCTCTGTCTCACTTAGCTGCTTTTCTGGTGAGTCCTCCTTTTCTTTCCTATGGGGGTTTCTTTGTCTACCCATGTTTGATCTCACTGACATGACTAGTTGTTGAGTCGTTCAGTGGCTGGACCCTGGGTGGCAGTGGCTGCTCCCTGGGTGGCAGTGGCTCCTCGGGCTGTGGTTGCTCCTTGGGCGGTTGTGGTGGCAGCTCCTCTGTTGATAGCAGAGCCTCTAGTGGGTGCTGTTCACAGCTGTGGTGGCTCTTCTGGCTGGTGGAGGGAGGCTTCACACACAGCAACTGTTCCCCAGGCAGAGCGTGTGGTGATCAGGAGGCCGCTGTTGCTTGAATCTTTCCGTGGAGGGATGCAGGTCTCCTCTGGGCTCTTGCAGTCGCGCTGCTTGCGAGTCGTTGCCTCCGGGTTAGTAGCCGCCGGGTTAGTAGCCGATCTCTGGATGCCGGTAACAGCTACCCAAGATGGCGCGGTCTCGCCGCTGCGCTGGCGCCCAGGGGGAGGTTTCAGCCTCAATCTCTAACCATCCGCATTTTTTAGGAGTTCTCTGTCTTTCCTGGCTGCAGACTGTCTCTCAGCTGAACCTCCCCAGCTTGATCGGGCTGATTGTTACCCGTTTCAGCTGCTTGCCCCTATCTGCTCCGGGACAAAGCACCAACACGTCCGTCTAAGCCTCCGCCATTTTTCCTAACCCTTTTGTTTAACTTCTTTTGTCTAATATTATATTTGAGAGATTTACCCATATTTTTGCATATAGTAAGAGTTTGTTTTCATTGCTGCATAGTATCTATCCACGTTATTAATATACTCCAATATATTGATTTATTCTACTTGTAATGGACTTTTGAGTTGTTTCTCCTTTGGGGCCAAGAAGAATAGTGCTATGAACATTCTCAGGTGTATCTTAGTGCACATATGTGTGCATTTCAGTCAGGTATATCTTTCCTTTCATTGTATTCCTCCTTATAAAAAGTATTTGTGGTGGCTTAGACAATTAAACGCAAATTAGACAAAAATAAAGAATGCAATTAAAAGCCACTATTCTGCCAGGAAGTGAATGATGAAAAGATTTATCGAAAGCTAGGAGTGCCAGATATTTTGCTTAACTTTTCTGTAGGCCTAGGAGGAGAAAGTAGTGATCACGGAGTACTAAATAGAGGTCTGAACCTCCTGGTAGCCAGTGCAGAGGTTTGGGGTAAGTATGAAGACGCTGTTTTAAGTATAAAGATAAGGGATATTAAGGGTCAGGAAAATGACATGATGGTGGAGCTGAAGCTGTGTGAGCGACCTACATGCCCGTACCAGTGATCGAACTCCTAACCTGGGTACGTGCAGCCGGTCATCGAACCTGCCACCTTTTTGCTATGTCTGTAGCGTGTCTTTTCTGGAGGAGGGATGATTTCAGATCATCTAAAAAATTCAGTTGTTTGTTGTTTTGTTCATGATTTTTACAAATTCTTGTTTTTGGATAACAAGTGCTATTGGAGGTATTTGTAACTGTTTTCTTGCATTTCCTGGGCTCTCTTTTTGCTCTTTGGATAGCTTCTTTTGGTGCATGGAAGATGCTAATGTCAAAGAAAAAATCCCTTATTTGTCATGGTTTTGCTTGGGAAGAGATTGCGCTGTCTCCTGAGCTCTCGTGTACACGGGCCAGCTGGCCCACCTTCGTGCAGAGGCCCGTCCTCTCACCAGGAGCACGGCAGCCCTTGTGCAAGGCCATGTGCTTTGCAGGCCTCGCCCAGTCCACCCACGGCACAGCTCAGTGGGCTGGAGCTGATCTGAGTGAAGGGCCCTTTTTTCTTTGTTATGAAGGAATTTGACCAAGTGGATTGACAGAAAAGGGAAGAATTATGTAGAAGCCTAGGTAACCTCCAGATGGGATCAGCCGACCCCTCATAATCAAGAGGCACTCTCCACGCTTAATTTAAATCTTTTCCTCTCTCGGAACCTCATCCTTCCGGGCAAACCCAGGACTGACGGTATCATGGGCCTTGGTGTATTTGACAGACAGTGCGACTTGGGCTGGGGCTGGGGGTGGGGCTGCAGCCATCCTTGGCTTTGATTTTTCAGCTCGTATCTGGCTGGCTGTGGATCAGAGGCAGTTTTCTCCAGGAATTCCCCAGAATTCCTCTAGCCAGGCGTAGTAAAATGGTAGAGATGCCATTGCTGGACCTGGGAGCTGATGTCATTATTTACAAACCAACTTTCTCCTGGGTGAGGGGTGCTCCAGGCCCTCCTCACACCTAAACAGCGCTGCTTTCACACCTGGAAGGTACCCTTGACCTTAGGACATCCGCCCTGTCATCAGTTGTAGAATAGCTAGATGACAGAAAGAGGACATGCATCTGGATCAAGTTGGGTTACCTTCTTCTGTGCTATTCTACCACATACAGTGCCGTTTTTCAGAAAGGGCTGTGATTCTCTGAGAGTAATCATGACTACTGTTTCTAAACGAGGGTTCTCGCCCTTGTCCCCTGTGTCTTCTGTAAAATCAGGTAAGGAGGTGGTAAATGCATCTGAAGTACTGAAAGAGCAACTTGCCTGAAGGTCAGCCCGTGAGGTAGTCATGTGACCAAGACTAGACCGCAGCCTGCCCACTCGGACCCCAGCAGCCCTGCCCTGCCTCCTCCTCTGCCAGCCCCCAGCCCAGCTCCCGGAGCTGGTCCTCACTGCCCGCTGATCCCATTTTCTCCCTGTCCCCTTTTATCCCCCACCCTGCCCTTCAGTCAACTTCCTCTGAGGTCTGAGCACCCCCGCATCACCCCTGAACTCTTGGGCCCCAAGAAGAGACTGTCACAAAAGGGAAGTCCCCAACAATTTTGACTTTGAACTCTGAGCTCCATGCTTTCCTGAATAGGGAAGAGGGAAGGAATGGCCAGAAATGGGTCTAGAGAATTTATAGTTATTGAGAGGGCATTCCACTGTGTTGTTTTTCAGGCAGGCCTCTTAAAACTACCCTTCCTCCCTCCCCGCCCCGACTTCTCCCACCAGCCCCCAGAGCTGTGCGGCTCCTGGGTCTCCATCTTGCCTGGCTCCAAAGGAAGGGAAGAGGAAGTGGAATTAAAATCAATGTGCTACTTGTTAGCAGCTCTGGTAAAAATAACAACCGCGCATTTAAGCAGTCTGGATGGCTCAAGTGGAATTTGGGGATTATCCATGGCCGAATTGGCTGGTGTTAAATCACAATTAGCATGGGCTCTCTCTCTCTCTCAGTTAGTCTGGACAATGCAGGACTGGCTAGCCATGAAAAATGCTTAATGATCGCATGTAAGCACAAGCCAGGATATCAGGAAACGATCGCTGGGTGGACACACACACACACACACACACACACACACACACGCACACCACTCTTAATTCAAAACCCGTAGGCCCTGTATCTGAATTTAAGGAGGAAGAAGTATTCCATCTTCTCAAATCCCAGGTCACCTCAAGCTACCTCTTTAAGGAAGGCACTGCCGATTCCAGAATCTTGCTCTTTGTTTCCTAAACGTTAGCCTTTTCCTAAAAGTTTAGCCCTGCAAGAGCCATAGGACCCATTCCACAGGTGCTTTTCTTACCTGTAGGGAAGTCAGACTTGTGAAGAGTACGAGGCACGGTACTTCTTCTGTCTTGCTTTTTATGGTCCTTTGATACAATATAAAAGTTGCCAACTCTTCAAAGAGAGCAAGTATTTATAATAATTTGGAAAACATTTTTTTGCCATTGTGTGTGTGTGTGTGTGTGTGTGTGTGAATCATTTCATCTCTTAAGTTAAATGATTGTAGTGTTACCCCCTGAGAGGATAAAGTTAGTTTTTTTTTAGTCCTCTCCAGAACATCCAGGAGGTTTTTACTAACCAGGTTCATCTTTATTGCACTCCTCTTCCAATCCATGAAAAAGAGTTGAGTTTGGCCTAGTTGTGGTAACACTCAATTCTACTCTAAGGATTCTAGAGCTTCAGATTGGGGGGCGGGGGGACGGGGGGGGATGCTGTGTGTGTTTTTAAATGCTCAAAGCATAAAATATAGGATATAGAGAATGCATATTTGGGTTCTGTTTGGTTTTTATTGTTCTCTATTCCTGAGCAACATCGTACTTAAGCTTTTTATAAAATCCAAGATGTTAGAGTTCAGCCAAATTCCATAAAACTGATTAATAAGATAGCTAGATCTGGCATGCCACCCCATAAGAAAACACGTGGTTACGTAAGATAGCTCACTACATTCTTACAGAATTCTAGAAATTATTCAAACTCTAAAATTCCTTCCAATCTCTTATTTCATCTTAAGGACAATATAAGATATGCCAGTTAGCAAGAAAGAGGTAAAAAGAGTACTGCAGTCACACCTCCATAACGGGTTTAGGAGAAAGCTGGTGCTATGAAGATAATGTCAGTTTGTAGCCATCTAAATTTCTGCTTCTATCACAAGCTTACATGTTATTTGGACTTTCAAATTGGTTTTTACAGCTTTATTTCACCCTGCTGCCTGCTATTAAAATGTATAGTTAGAACGTACAAATTCCATAGATTACCATAGAAATTAACTCAAGTGTCCAGATTATACACTGCTTTCCATGGCGTCTATATAAAAATCTTAAAGCTTTTTAGCATTTCGTCCTGCTCATAGTCAAGGATTTTGTGTTATTTTGAGATTGCCATATATCAAAGCTGGTTTTTTTTTATGCAGCATTTTTTGTCCTCAAGAAAATACGGAAGAGGCCCTGTTGTTACTGCTGATTAGTGAATCCATGGTAAGTAGAATGTGTTTTTACATTTTTTTCTTCCCTATTCCTGTAGTCCCTTTTTTGATATGGCTACTGCATCAGTATAGTGACCCTTTTCCTTGGGAGAAAAATAGATGGGATACCTGGGTGGGAAGAAACAGTAGAGGCTTAAAAGGAGGGATGTTTCTTACTTCTTGGACTGGGTAGCACATTGCTTGGTCACCCCGGAGCATGGAGCTTCTCTTCCCCGAGCAATTAGTAGGCAGCTGAGTTTATTCCTTTATCCGCCAAGTATTGCTGGAACACTAACACAAGCATATACTATAGGTAAACTATAGCTAAAATGACCACAAAGATCCTCGCCAGGGGAAGGAAGCCCCCAAGGGTCCCTTTCCGAGCCTTCTCGATTTGCCGTGGAGGGAGGGAGAGTTTGGAGAGAAATCACTTGTGTGTTTGAACCTCTGGTTTTCAGATGAAATTGCCTCGGCCTCTACACAGGCCCTTCCCCAAGCTCCCACTGCTCCCGGGCACTGCACGCCCAGCTGGGAGGGTTCACTCCTGTCACCTGACTCTGCTGCTGGGAGGGCGCTTTTGCCAGACCCTAAATTCCTCCGAAGTGTTTTCTTCGTGTTTGGCCAGGATATCACCTCTTAGGTCTGGAATTTCCTTGCTCATCATTCATTGGGTTTCCACTCTGTATATCTTCAGGCGTGACAGCCCTGGCTTGCATCTTTCAGGAGTAATACGTGTTATAGTCGTTATACCTTGGCAAGCCACTGTGTGCCCAGCACCTGAGCAGAATGGCCAACGCCTGGGACTTGAAAGGACCTAGAGGTCCTCATGCCCATTCACTGAGTTTACACGGGGGGAACCCGAGGCCCAGAGCAGGCGCCTCGATTCCCTGTGCAGTGGTCTTCCCGGTAGGTCATACTGTCCCCTCCCACATCCCGCACCGCACCTGGCAGGCAGGAGGACAAGGGAGACGCAAAAGGAATCCTAGCCGAAGCGAGAGAAGTGTTTCACACTTTAAAGGGGGGTCTGAAATGCACTCAGGTGAGAAAGGCTTAGAGATGAGCAGCAGAACGTGCGTGTGCCACATGTCGGAGGGAGGGGTCAGGAGGGCCGGACTTGGTCTGGGAGGACAGCTTCCTTAATTCAGAGCTTTGGGTTTTCTTGTTCTGTGCAATGGCCCAGAGATGTTTACAAGAGCAAGACTGCTTGAGTTACCACTTCTCTCTACTTGGAAGCTCTTTGACGTCATTGGCCTGCCTTCCTCCGAAGGAGACAGGTTGCCCCGTTGGCTCATCTTTCCTGACTGTCAGCTGGTAACTTAGCACGGTGTCACTTACACTCCCTCCCCTGCCTCGGCGCAGTCGGGGAAGGCGCGCATGGGGACGGCTGGCACCGGCGTTCGGTGACAAGTCTCACTGTGCTTTGTCATCAGTTCTTCGATGGGGCAGCTCGTGGTGGCCTCCTCGCTGACACTCCTGCACCCGAAGCTGGACTCTTCGCAACTTAGCAGTCAGTTTCCTTGGGCAAACCTGGTTGGTTACACTGTAGAAGTTCTGGGAGCGTGGGGACAGTTCTGATGGGAAATATTGAGTTCCGTTGTCAGTCATGTATTCGTTTGGAATCTGGAAAACACGGCCCCCTCTCTACAATGCCGTGTCTTGGGGATGATGGCTCCATCTCTCCTGCTCCTTCACTGAAGTGCGAGGAACTCATAGGCTCAAAATGGAGAGCCCTCTGAGACAGTCAGATGTGTCTCTGTGGTATTTAACTTCCGGAAATCGGCTGGTGAAATCCAGTGACATCAATAAATATGAAGGATGAGGTTCCCAACCAAAATGATTATGTTCCCCCTGTAAGTCATTCCATGATTATGTAGGTAGAAACCTAAATTAAGTTGCTTTTGGAAGCTCTTTCTTCATGTTCCTTGACTCCTTGATTTTTCTGTTTTTGGACAGAAAAAGAATGTGCTCAATTTCAGAATCAAAACGAGAATTGCTGGTGGTTGTGTTTTTGGTACTTGGGAAAATTGTTTTTTGTTGGTTCTGACTTTATCTTAGAAGCATAATTTGTCCATAGTCTCTCCATCTACAAGAACTCATTGGGAATTGCACTGCTTTCTTGCCTCAAATTAAATGAGTTTTCCCCAGGAGAAAGGAGTCATTGGGACTATATCTGCACAACCGACACGGATACAATACTCCGGGATCTTTATTATTTGTGGATCAGTTTAAGGTTCTGTGTTGTACCTTTTTATTCAAAAGAAAACCATAGACTTTCTCTAAAAATTAAAAAAAAGAATGCATTTGGCATAACTTGAAAATTTCTCTTAAATAGTATTTTGTTTTGTTCTCTTCTCAACATGGAGCATTTATAGCAAATAAATCAAATGAGACCACTGACAGCAAGCCCTGTTTTCCTCCTGAGATTCTTTTGTTGGCTGAAAAGCCACTCCTAACAAGAAAAATTTAAGGATAAAATCTTCAGAATCAGGCTTATTTTCATAGGTGATGACTCACTTTGAAGGAAGTGGCCTGACATATATTCTTATTTGTCTTTGACATTTAGGAGCGAGGAGTTTTGAAGTGAGTGAGTGCTGATGGGTGGCTAAAAGCAAATGCCCCAGACTCACAAAAAGAAGCCCTTTAACCTCATTAGTGAGAGAGAAGGTGCGCGTAGTCTTTCTGAATGTCAGGCAGGAAGACAGACATCAGCCTACTCGGACAAGCGGCCCCGTCTCATGTGACCACGTTCACAGGAAGAGCTGGGGCGTCTCTCTTCGTGCTCCCAGGGACAGGTAGATCTGGAGACTTCTGGTAGTTAGCAGGGAGAAGGACCGGAAGATCTAACTATTGATTCTAACTCCCTGGGAGGTGTGTGTGTGTGGGGGGGGCGGGGGTGGGGAGGAAAAGGAGCCAGTGGTTAGAGTCTGCTCGCATGGGTTTGTCTGGAGGAATCTGTAGAGAAATTACATTTCAAAGGTAATGAAAACAGGTTGCTGTAAGGAGCCTTTGATGTCTAGATAGATGAGATTAACAAGCTTGAATGTGCCTGCTGCCTTCCTTGCTAAGCAGTGGCGATGTGAAATAGGCAGGTGTTCTCTTGAGTCCTCTGTGGTAATGTCTTTAAAATAAAAATCTGTTTGCTTCTTGCTGTCACTTATACATCTGCTTTGTGCTTCCCTAAACAAGATGGGATTAGTCTTTGCAGTCTGTGCCAGCGAGGATGTCACCGAGGACCTGAGTGTTGCCTTGTGGTGGAGGAGAAGTGTGACATGTCTCTGTAGGACGGATAGAACTTGATGCCACCATTTGGTGATGGGAAGGGTGGGGCCGGTGACATACAGCAGAGCGGGGTCTGTGAGTGAGTGAGGAGCAGCAGGGCCTGACCTGCTGGGGGATCCTGCTGCCCCAGAGCACAGCTGTGCCTGCAGCGAACCTGAGCCCAGGAGCAATCACCCCGCTTTGCGCTCACTGGCCCTTAAATCTCCCTCCACATACCTGCCAACTGGGACATGTGTCCTACAGGATCGCACCTCCAGGCCCCACAGTTTAGAGAACACCCTGTACCACGGGCTGAGGTGCTCTGGGGAGTTTGAACGAACAATCAGAGGTGACAGACCCCCTTCCCCATTCCCGCCCTTGTCTCCAGACCCTGCTGTTAGGGCAGGAGGCCGAGATGGCCTCCCCACAGTGCAGGCTGTGTGCACAGCTGGCTCACCATCTGCTTCTCTCCTCCGTGCTGCTTCCAGGCCAACCGGGACGCCGTGCTGAGCAGGATCCCCGAGCACAGGAGCGACCGCCTCATCAGTCTGCAGAGCGCCTCGGTGGTCTATGACCTGCTGACCATTGCTCTTGGGAGAAGAGGCCAGTTTGAGATGCTGTCGGAGGTACAGCCCTCGAGTCCGGATGGCTTCCAGGCGGTGGGGGGTGCTGGCGGTCTGAACGCAGGGACAGCTGAGGGACCTGGTCCTGAACCCCTGTCACCGGCAGCCACATGGCTTTGGGTTTAGCTTTGGTTTGCTCCTCTGTGAAATGGAAATGGGGCTAAGCCAGTGGTCGGCAAACTGCGGCCCCTTGAGTGTGGCTCTTCCACAAAATACCATGTGCGGGCGAGCACATACAGTGCGATTGAAACTTCATGGCCACACTCAAGGGGCCAAAGAGCCGCATGTGGCTCGCGAGCTGCAGTTTGCCGACCACTGCGCTAAGCGATCAGGTGGGGCAGTCACTGGTGGTCACTTCCTACCAGTGGTCCCAACACCCACTGGCTGTGAGTTTGTGGGAGGGAAGGCAAGCATTTCTCTAGCAGTTTCTCTTTTAGTGTAATTTCCACCATAACCCAAATCACCCATCTGTGATATTAATTTCCTTAAAAAACGGGCTGTATTTGATTTAAAGCATCATTGTGTAACTGCTGCTGAAACGGCAGCTGTGGGCACAGGGTCTCGCCCGGCGAGCTGGGACAGGCTTCCCCGTCAACCGCGCCTGCGTTCAGAGGGACCCTCGTAGCATAGGTGCTGTCATCTCCTTCCCTCCGTTTCTCAGAAACATTTGGGATGGAAGCTTGGCTTTTATCTTGTGCTGTGGTTATGCATAACCGAGCTGCTGCCCAGAATACCAGATTCCACGATGGTAGCGGCGAAATAAGTATAAGATCATTTTATCTTTTCTTTAGTGAAGTAAAGAGAAAGAAAGAGAGAAAACCACTCATTTGGTTAAAATGGACTTTTCCATGTTATTCATCTTTCTTTTTCTAAATTTATACACATTGCAACAGCCTCTGGGCAGGAGGACAGGGAGTGAAATACAGTAACAGATCGGCTGAAATCAGATAAGCGCGCCTCGCCCTCCAGCCTGCTGAGCGCGGCCACATTGCCCGGAGCCACGGACAGCAGTTGAGCCTGTGTGGCCTGGACCTTTTTTTAGGCTTCGGTTTGGTGACTGTACAGGGCAATGGTTACTCATTCTTCAAAAAAAGCCCTTCACAATCCAGCTAGATAAGGCGATCTGTCCTGATGTTCCTGTTACACCCCGCACCCCCCACCCCCTGGGGCTGTGCCCAGGCTTGGGATTGGCCTGGATTTGTCACCGCTCCTGGTGCTTTGACTTCCTGGGACCCTCTCCTCCTGGCCAGCTTAGTTCCCACGCCCCGCACCTGCTGCGGAGCCCTCTGCGGGGACAGGGCCCCCCAGCCCGTGGGGGGTTCTTCGAAGGTGAACCTTTGCCCTCCAGATGAACCACTGGACGTCTCTCTGGGTCCCAGGCTGAGTGTGGTCACGGGTCTGCTCTCGTGCCATCTCGGGGCTGCGCGGCCTTTCCCCAGCTTGAAATGGCCTGCGTCTGGGACAGGTGTGAGCTGCAGGAGGTGCTGCCTTAGTCACAGGCTGGTGGCCCCTGCCCACGGGCTTCTCGTCATGCCATGAATGACTTGAGGGGGCGGCTGTCACCTTAGCAGCATTCCTCTGCCAGGTGGCGTTCCCGGGCCTGTGTTTCCTCCTGGCATGGAATGCGGCAGCCTTGTTTTCACCAGATGACATTCCTCTTGATGTCGCATTTAGCTGCCATCTTGTGGCAATGACCTGGCGCCCAAGTCACTGGCTGCTCCCGTTGGTTGTCTGAGCCTTGGCAGTTCCGAATTTCATTGCAGGAGGAACATTTAAAGCAATGGCGACCTTGCCAGAGGTTGCCTAAGGAGCTAGAGTAGAGGGGGGTGGGGGTGGGGGGCAGGGAAATGTATCAGGGTATATCCCTGGGAGCCTTTTGAGTTCTGTACTGTATCTGAGCTGTATCTAGTAGGTCAGTTGATAAAACAGAGGACACTCATGTCTTCAACACATATGTTTGCAGTCCCCTGTTCTGTGCCAGGGGCTGTGATTCAGGCCGGGACACCTGAGCCAGGTGCGGTCCCTGCCCACCAGCAGCTCCCAGTCCACGGGGAGGCGGCCAGGCCGCATTGCCGCCTGGTGTGGCTGGCGCTGGGGAGGCCTCCCCGCAGGGTCTGCATCCAGTAATAAAGGATTCGAATACTTGGCTTCAACCTTTCTTGCTATTTCTACTTAGTTTTGCCGTTAGAGCTTCCCCAAGCCCCGTGGTCTCAGATCTTCTGAGTGACACAGGAGGGATTGTAGGTGGAGAGTGAACACGGTGGCCCCTGGAGACACGGTTCCATCTCTGGAAGCTCGGTCACTGCAGAGCAGGCATGGTCACCCTCGCTGAGCTCGGATCTGCTCTCCCTTTGTCTCGGGCTACATCTTCCTTAGGGTGTCCTGCTTCCCTCATTTGCTGGGGTTTTCTCTTTTTTTCTTTAATCCTAATTTTTCCTTCCATTTTTCTCAGCACTTTAGGTTGAAAGACTAACCAGATTTTTTTAGATTGAGGTAAATTCATATAACATAAACAGCCATTTTTAAATGCCCAACTCAGTGGCATTAGGTACATTCCCACTGTTTTGCAACTATCCCCTCTATCAAGTTCCGGAACATTCTCATCGCCCTAAAAGGAAACCCGTCCCACTGAGTGATTTTTCTCCATTGCCCGACCCCCAGGTTCAGTCAGCTGCTCATCTGCTCTCTGACTATGGATTCACCTAATTTGGGTATTTCATATAAATAGAATCATCCGGTATCTGACCTTTCGTCTGGCTTCTTTCACTTAGAAGGCTGTAGCATGTGTCAGTACTTCATTCCTTTTTTATGGTTGGATAACATTCCATCGTATCACAATTTGTTTATCCATTTGTCAGTCGACAGGCATTTGGCTTTGGTGTAGAGTGCCGCTGTGGGGGCAACTGGCATTTAAACTTCCTGTGTTACTCCTTTGGGCCTGCGATGGTTAGTGGGTGTCATTATCATCACTCGGCGTGGTGGTATAGTCTGTTTCCCCTTCTGCATCTCCTGCACCGTGCCAGTGAGCCTTCTAAACCAGGGATGGGCACACCCCCCTTCTGTTAAGAAACATTCGACGGCTCTTCCCCACTCCCCTTCTTTTTTCCTCTCTTTTAATTTTGTTTTGTTTTACTTTTTCTCCCGTAATGAAATTGACTTCATTGTTTATGTTTCTGCCATATGCAGCAGCCCTGCAAGAACCGAGCAGTACATACAAATATGGGAAGAAAATAAACGTCACTGGGAACCCCACTCTCCTGGGGTGGTTACCTGCCCGTTGCCCATCTCTCCTTGTTTGCCTTCATGAACGTACATTTATGGACGTGTGAAGGAGTGGGATCGTGTCGTGCATGTTTTATTGTGGATATTCCCAGTCATTGCTCTCCTTGCCTTGGTATCCCTGCCTCCGCACCCCTAACCCCAGGCCAGCACCTTGGGCATCCTGGGCTCAGGCCTAGAGAGCTTGGCCTCGAGTTCTGCCTCCCATTGGCCAGTTGTGTGATCCTGGAAGTTATTAACCTCTCCTGCCTCAGGTCCTCCTTCTGTGAAACAGGGAGGATATCACACCTGCCTCAGAATTGTGAAGGTGGCTCACTATCCATGCAGAGTACTCAGAGCAGAGCACACAAGCTCACAGAGTGTGTGCTTCTGCACCGCTCCTACCACCGTCTTCCCAGGGGTTGCCAGGCACCAGCAAGCAGCACAGTACACAAAAAGGTCTTTGGCTTCTAGAATTTTCCAACCTAGAGAGATCAAATAGAAACAAGAAAAGATGACTACAGTTGACCCTTGAACAACACGGATTTGAACTGCACGGGTCCACTTACACATGAATTTTTAAAAATAAAAACCTTACTGTCTTCCCTCCGAGGTTGGGAGTCTGCGGAGTCGAGGGCTGACTGTGCGCATTGAACTGCGCTGTTTTTATACTAGTGACTTGAGAACCCAGGATTTTGGTATCCACAGGGGGTCCAGGAACCAGGTCCCCGCAGGTGCCAGGGGACAACTAAGTTTTGGGGGAGCCGAAGTTTTACGTAGATTTCCGACAGCACGGGGGTCAGGACCCCTACCCATAGTGCTTGGGGACACCTCTAATCAGAGAAGACTGGATAGTGTGGGCACGGTCATGGCAGGGCACAGAGCAGGCCACTTGCAGCAGAATTTGCAGGTGGGGGTAGCAGCGAGAGGTTAGGAGCAACTGATACATGAACTGGCTGCTCAAGGCCTGATGGGAATTAAAGTCTTGAGAGCCGAGGAACACCCTTCATCATCAGGGTCAGGGCGGTGTGAGGGCGTTCGGCCTGAGGGTGGGAGCTGAGGGCTTGTTCTCACGGGGGCGTCGGACAGAAAGCCTGGTTGTCAGACCCCGCGTCTCGGTGCAGACTGTGCCCTGGCTCGTGTGAGCGGGGCCATCACCCTCGGCTGTTCTGTGAGCTGGTCCCCTGTGCCTCGGCGACACTGCCCAGCGACACTCCCTTTACACAGTGGACCGCTTCTGACCAGAAGGTGGACAGCCCCAGGCCACCACGAGAGAAGAGGTGTCACCTCCTCACCACGTCCTCATGCTTCCTTCCTCTCTTGCCCCCGCCAACGTCAACACTTGCACATCAGGCCGCGTGCTCTCCTCCTGGCCCCTCTCCTCGGCGGACCTGAGCCCCGGGGCACTCTGCACCAGACGGGGACAGGCCGGGGTGCCTGTGCTGTGAGTCCCAGCAGCCTTCCCACCTCTGTCCTCCTGCCGTGGGCACCTTTGGGTGGGCTGTGCAGACCCAGGCTTTGAGGAACTGTGCTGGCAGGGGTCGCAGAGCTACTTTCACACGAACGCCGCCCTCCCTGCCTCCCTCTCCCGTTGTATTTATTCAGGATGAAGGCTGCTTCCCACCCCAAGGTTGGCTGCGTCTGTGTATGCCCACATGTAATGCCTTTCTTTCTTCAGGGCACTGTTCAGCCAGCTACTGGGCAAGGAGCCTTGTACAGAGGCAGTGCACACCCCAGGTTCATTA